CATCAAAGTTTCGCAATCTCCGAGTCGTCCACACAGACCGGAATAAAATTTCCCCAAATTACACGAATGTCAGGTCTCTCGCATTTACATTTTCAACACCGAGTAATTACAAGCCAACGAGTGGGTTTTTTCTTTTTTGTGCTCATGTGTTGGTACGCAAACTAATCCACCACATATAATTATCCATTGCCGGATGGACGGCCTCTCCCCCTCCTAACTTCTGACTGGAAGCAATCCGACTCCGTTGGCGCGTTAGTGAAGCACTTCCCTGCATTTGAGCTCCTGTGGGCTCTCTCTCTCTGGCTGTGCTGCCGTGCAATTTCGTGTTATTTTATCGTCACCACCGCAGTGGAGATTAAATCAGAGAAATCCACATTATGTTCTTTTCCCTCGTCTGGGCCGTGCCTTGTGTTGACGTCAAACGATGTATGGAATAGGTTGTAATTGCATCCATTCGTAACGCCCACCGGCAATTTAGGGGAGTAATCAGGCTTTTTTCAATTTTCATTCCTTTACACTGGTAGAAATTTTTTGAAATTTCACGGAAGATATTATAGTAAATCTCATGAGAGTGACGTTGAGTCGGATTTAGGGCAAACATGGTTATGAAATTTCAAGTTTTAAGTAGAATTCATGGAAATTTCACAACTTGATTTAATTTTCAGGGGAACATACATATTCAGAAACAAAATAACTTGCACTTTCAATTTTTTCCTGAATTTTCCAGATTTTTCTGAATTTTCACAAATTAATGGAACTGAAAAATCAAGTGTTTTATTGATTTCCAGATCATTTGAACAGAAAATCAACGGAATATTTGATTTTTTAATGACAAGACTTCCTGAAATTTCAGTGGAACTTGAACACGATAAAAATTTCATAAAAATTTAAATTTGCAGTTGCATTTTTATTCATATAAAATGAAGAATTTTACAAATGTAAACACACTAGTAAAGACTTTATTAGTTAGAAATGTGGAATCATTGTTTAAATGGCGGAGGAAAAGAATTTATTGGTGTGCAATAATTCTCTGTTTGCATCAAATAAATTGTTTATTTATTCCTAATTGATTATTTACTTCTAATGAATGCACTATTGATTCCATATAATTGAAGCTTTATTATTCAAATAAATATATAAATTTCGAACAAAAATATTGCAGAATTTAATAGGAAAATTTCAAATAAAGATTCAATTTGTTCAATTTTGTTAAAGAGTTTAAGCTTTAACTGTCTTGAGTTTATGAACGCATCAAGAGGCAATCGCGAATTTCATAGGACCACTTTCCATCCACAAAGTAACCATTTCTATGGACATGATAGACATTCCTATGTAACATAGCATTACCATGTCACATGATAAGCATTATTATTTTCAACAAATTGAACAAAGTATTACATGAAAGTTATGGAAGGCAGTTTTTTATCGTTCCAATAAAGTGAATTGTGTTAAAAATGAGATGATTGTACTCCAAAAATAGTCTTTTCTCCCTCGAATAGTTGCGCGTTTCTTCAATCAAACATTAACAATAAATTCCAGAAGACAGTTCTTTTCCAATCAAATAAAATGGATTAGGGAGTTTGAATATAATCATCGGGTTTGAAAAATTACTATTTTTCATTCAGAGATGGTTTGGTTTTTCTTCAGTGGGGGGCCTCGCCCCCCTCCCCCCCGGGGGGGGGGGCTTCGCCCGCCCCTCCCTAAACGTTATCGCACTTTAGACTTCAGCCTCGACATACAACAGTATGTGATATTCAGACGATAAGTGAATCGACAAGTGATAAGTGTGAAGACAACAAACACTCGTCATAACCTGCCACTTATCACCCTTATATCACAATGTACCATGCAGTTCAGAAGATGCCTTTCCTTATCACTCCAGAAACGGACTATTTTGAAGGAAATCCAGTGTGAATTAAGCTGACACTCAAGTCACAGTAAGTATCACTCTCCGGATTCATTTATGAGAGACATGCGCTCGAATATAGCCAGTCGGTTGGGTATCGTTACTCCAGTATACGTGCCTAAAGGGTATTATTTGGTTTTCATTATGCCGCAATCTACGATGTCGAAGGGTGAAACGCGGGGGTGGGGAGGGGGTTAGGTGGTACTTATCCACCATTGCAAGATGCGCGCAAGCGAGGATATTGCTATATGTTAAAGCCCCTCACTGACACTGGGGATGAGTCTCGGATGTGTGGCCCAAGACTAAAGCGTTAAATGCTCATGAAAATATCCTCGCGCGTTCGAATCCTCCAGGCGTTATTGTTATGGCCAGTCGTAAGGGTTCTTAGTAAACTCACCCCGGGGAATTGAGCAATGAATGTCCGCAGGCGTGAGAAGTGCCGCGCGGGTAATTGAATTTTTTTTATTTTGGCTGAGGCATTGGAGCATCGGGTAATGACAATACTCAGAAAATTGGTGTCTTCCAGAGTTTTAATTTATGAGATTAGACACAAAAATGGGTCTTATCGGCCAACTTGGTCGTGATTAAAATTGCGAATGTCTTAAAATAAGACGTTTTGCTGTCTAAAAACATTTTTATGATATTTGGAAATACAAGTTACGAAATTTAAGGTATTTATGGCGGGGTGGGCATGCAGGACGTGAGACGGAGGGGAATCTATTGTTCTCTCGCAGAGAACCAATCGCTGAACAAAAAAAACATTTCAATTCAGTAGCGAAGGGGTAAACCGGTTCAAGTCGACTTATCTCCCACTTGAGTTTTTGAGGAATATTTCCGAATGTAAGGGAGATAGCGAAATTTTTGTAATTACATTTGTTGCAGCGCTCAATCGGCTCTACAAAAAAGGTTAGAACAAAAATTTTGCTATCTCTCTTAGATTCCGAAATATTTATTGAAAACTGGTCAATAGCCAGTAATTGATTTGTCAGAATAAATTAAGCTCACTCAGCTGATTGAAATCAATTATCGACATGAAGTGGTCAATTTTGGTGATACGTGGATAATGAAAATAATCAATGGGAAAATGCAGAACCAGTGCTCACAGAGTCAATTAATTTTACAGGGTTATTATCAAATGTCATGTGACATTGTAGAAGCGTTTACTCACCCGTAGGGAGGAATTATGCCAATAGCATTCAGGGGAAATACTTTTGTTATTTTCGTAATTAACAGTGAAATTATTGGAATGCTTCAATGAATGATTTTCTGGATAGTCAAAGCTAAATGATTTCAGTTTCAAATTTAATATTTTGATTGGGGTTCTCACTCATTTCTCGTTGGAACAACTGAAATTTCGTGAACTGTTGACGAGTCATTTTCAGGAGAGTGATATGAAATTCGGTTTAGGGGAAAACATTCAACAAAATCAGCTGTAAAATTTTCATATTACAATAAATGATTTGCTCATGTTCTAACTTCTATGCTCACTAAAAAAGATTTTAAGCATAATTACAATTCAATTCCTTCTAGAACATACTTCAGACTGTGAATTTCTGAAATTCAATGTTTATTTATACACGGAGAGAGATTTTTTAGAAAAATTCTAAGTTGCCATCTCCCTTAGATTCGGAAATATTCCTCGAAAACTCTGCTACGAGACAAGTTGACTTGAATCGTTTTACCACTTCGCTACTGAATTTAAACAACAAATGACTAAATTTCAGATTTTACTGAAAATTCAATGGAATTTTATGTTTTTGGCAGTAGGAGCACGAGAATTTCCCAATTTATGTGCATTTTCCATCAAAACATCAACATTAATATTAAGTTGCGCTGAATTTTCAATAATGAAATTCCTTGAAATGTCAGTCAAACTAGAAGGTAATAAAAATTTCCGCAAGTTTATTGGAACATTATTATTGGAAACTTTTCCACCACGTAACAATTAATTCTATTATTTTATCCACCAACACGAAAACAAACAGAAATCATCAGTTGACAAATGCAAACTGCATGTATTACATTGTGAGCGCAATGTACATTTGCCCGAACAATCGCATATGCGGTTTGGAAATTGCTTCCGATCAAGTAGCCAATCATCGGAAACCAATACATGAGCGACAACAATCGTATCCCTCATTGGGTTGTAGTCGAGAAAGAGGCATATCGGAAAAGATAATCTGCATGCATTTCCTGTTGGAAGTATCTAATTTATTGGCATCCCGTCCTCTGTCATGATTCTACAAATGTCATTGGTAATGCTGATATGCACAGGAGAAACAAAATATTTCTCGCATCTGAAATATATTCATTGTAATGAAACCAAAATTTCAATTATTGAGAAAAATATATTTTATATATTTTTATAAATATATTTTTGAAAACACTTATGGTATTTGCTTAAATGAAATATTTCTCAGGCCTAAAAAAATTTCAATATAATGAAAACAAAAGTTTAATCATCATTTTAAAAAATGTCGAAATGCAAAATATCTCTATATTATAAAAATGCAAATCGACTTCTGGTAATAAAAATTTGGTACTCGAAATCACGATTCCAACATTAAGTGTCATGAGGGTCACAATAAGGGCCATAAGATTAAGGGTCGCAAGATTAAGAGTCACTAGATTAAGGGTCTCAAGGGTCAGATTAAGAGTCCAAATAAGGGTCATGGTAGGTCAGAAACTAGGGTCATAAGGGTCAAAATAAGGGTCTCAATATGTCTATATTGTTAAAATCCTAAACAACTTTTGCTGACGAAAATTTGGTGCTCGAAATTAAGACTCCAAAATGAAGGGTCACGAGGGTCAGAATCAGGATCAAAGGGGTCATACGGGGGATGGCGAACGGAGCGACCAAGAGGCCCTCGCCGAGGGGCTAGCCCTCTAGTAAAATAAAAAATATAAGAAAATTTTCTTCTCGTGAATGAATTTTTTTCTGTTACGAGTAAATTTCCATTCGAACGAGTGAATCTTTAACCCACTGGAATTTCATTCTGCTTTGAATATCTCGGTGTTATCGCATCGAGGAGAAATATTATTTCTCGCTTTATGGAAATTCACTGATAATGGAATTCTGTTTATTGTGCTTCAGGAGGGTATTGGCTCGCTGAAGGTTGTACCGGGTGGTGTTGAACTGAGGGGTCAAGCTGCTATTTTAGATGCCCTCATTGCATCAAGTGTGAGGTCAAGAAGAGGTAGAAATTTAGTGCTTGAATCATGGGGAAACTTTACTGCTTCAGCAAGATCCCACGACGGACGTTTATTAGCTAGATTTACGCTCGGTAAGAAATTTGCACATTTCCGCAATTACTGCATCAATCATAAATCAAAACATTTTCAAAATTCCTTATCTTCACTGAACAATGCACCTATGAAATTTCATCGGAGAGTATTTCAATACGTTGCGCCCTCTACACCCGCAGAAGTGATTTATTCTGATGAAATAATTTTTGAATGTTTAAAAAAATAAGAATTTCGTGCAAAATGTAATTTAATGACCTCGAATATTCAGGATTTTTTTCAAATTTTTCTCACGCAATTTAATTGACTAATTACTAGGATAGCCTTAAATCAAATTACAATTTAATTTAGATTTTCGTTTTTTTTTACATTTAAAAAATCGTTCATTGAATTCTAAATTCATTTGAAATGAATCGATTACGTATTTCATATGATTAAAATTTTTCCATTGAAGCAAATAGATGAGTAGAAGATTTAGGAGAAAAATGGTTATGAAATTTACGTTTTAGGTAGAATTCAAGGAAACTCATGAGTTTTCAGTGTGAGTGAGACAGAAATTTCCCAACTTGATTGAATTTTCAATAGAACATGAATATTCTGAACCAAAATGCCATCAATTTTCAAATTTCCCCTGAATTTTCCTAATTTTTCCAGATTTCCACGGAATAATTGAAATGAAAAATCTAATATTTGATTGATTTCCAGATCATTCGAACAGAAAATCAATGGAGTATTTTATTTTTCATACAACCATTTCCGGAAATTTCGGTTCAATTTAAACACGACATAAATTTCCGGGAGTTGACACGAAATATTCAGACGAAAATTATCAACAGTGTAATTCATAAACCTTTTTTCCCTAAAAATAATATCTATAATAAAAGATTGTATCCCCCAAAGGTGAGGACCGAGTTGACTGCATATCGAAGGGCTTTCGGATAACAGATCCCCGAGGCGAAGTGCTTTTTTCCGCAGACCGGGAGCAAGTTGTCGTGGGAGCGTCGATGCTGAAGGTAACGGGCGTCGGGGGTGCAGTCTTCCGTGGAAGCGTGCAGACTCCTCTGGTACGAGCCGAGTCGGGGCATGGCCTCAGGTAAGATATACAAGGATATCGCGAATAAAAAAAATGAGAATGAATAAACGAGAATAAAAAACTCAGCCCTGACACTCTGAAAATCCCGACGTCACGAGTGGATATATTGCAATCTCAAACTATTAAAAAGAATTACAATTTCATTCTCTTATATGCGTCAGAGGTGGATTGAAAATCCAATAAAACCCCTCAGATATATTTTAGCACCTCTAAACTAGAATGCGATGAAGTCTTACGTGAAGTCATTTTTTTTCTCTTTATCGCATTCCCTTCAATCGCCTTCGAACCGACTAAATCGAATAACAACGCATCGTAATGCCCTTGAATCCCTCGATCCCCGCTATCATTCAGTGGTGGGCATGCTCGTTCGAGCTGAGAATAGAAAGCTCACTGCAATCTCATTCCTCCCTGATTTTTCAACATTTTTTTCCCTCTTTAATTCCCCCGGATTTTCTTCGAATATCATTTTTGCGAATCCTTGAGAACCTCGAGGTATCCGCTCTCTCATCCTCGTGCATTAATTAAAACCCGTGCAGTCCGCGGGAATTATTGAACGTTCGGGAGTATTTTCCAATTTAAAAACGATGTGAAAATTTCAATTCTCGAACGAAAGGAAATCGAAGATCATGATAGGGTCGTGCAATTTACAGACGGATTTACGATTACAATAAAAGTTCAGCCGTGGGGAAAATTATATTCATAGGGTAGGATTGAATTTGCGTGAGATATCGAATGTCGGGGAGTGAGACATACGAGAACATTTTAATGTAATATTTTTAGTGCATGAAAATTATGAGAACAATTTTGTTCTTTATATTTTCGGTATTTTCACATCTGCGCGACCCTTCTGATCCGTATAGATGTCAAATGTATGATACTCTACCCGTATATAATCGGAATGCTATTAGAAACACATTGGAATTACAGATTTCACGGAAAATTCATCATTTCAAAGGAATTTCAATTTTTTTGAACCGCAGAAAGACGGGAACTTCGAAACTTATTTGAATTTTCAATAAAAATATGTGTAATTGAATATTCAAGAATAGTTTCAAGAAAATTATTGAAAGTTCAAGAATTTTTTATTTTGGAGGCATAATAGGTCGAGAATTTTCCTCAAGATTTTACTTCTTCGGGAAAAAATACGTGACAATTTCGTACTTTGTTCGGTGATGAGCCTGAGAATTCACTGAACGTTTCAGACTTCTTCTCTTCCATTCCTATAAAAATTTCCGGAAAACGGATCTCAATTGCGGATTACGTGAATTATTCCGTAATTTTTACCGCATATTTCTCTCGGTGTAGCGGAAAATTCAGCCAAAAATAGCATTACCACAAAGCACAACTAAAAATTAATTTTCCATCCCAACAGATTGGAATCAGCGACACGAGCATTGGAGATAAAAGCACCAGAGCGTGTGGTAATAGAGTCTCGCGCCGGTAATATAACAGCATCAAGCCTGTCACACCTGACACTCCAGAGTATCGAGGGTGCAATCAAGTTCGACGCCAATTCAGTCTTCCTCAAGGGTCTCAAAGTTGGTGGTACAATTCAGAGACACAATGCTAAAGAACAACAACGACCAAGAAACAGTAGATCATCGAGTGATCAGAGAGACTCGAGTGTTTATCAACTCTGCACATGCGCCAATGGAAAATTGTTCCTAGCAAGACCAGAAGGCATTTGCCAGGCAGACAAGAATGTCTGCTAATGTCGACTGAGGGCGATCCCAACTGGGGGGGATTCGCGCCATTACTATTCCTTTACCGTATTTCCAGATGGTGTGTTCAATCAATTCTGTAGGTGAAACAATGACTTTTTACCTGTTGTAATCATTTATATTTACGAAAGAATTCTCGTGCACTGGGGATTCAACGATTCGGCTTGTGTTATATTTTTTGATGATTGAGTCGATGTAAGGCATTGAGTGTTGTCATGCAAATAGTTTATGAAAATTATGGAATAATGTAGAATTTTATGCGAGTATTGGAGTTCGAATGAACAACGGTGCCGAGATTACCCCGCGATGTATATCTTGTATATCAATAAAACCATGCGATTATCGTTAATTTTTTCAATCATTTTTTTGCCATCCTCAGGACCTTTAACACCAACGAAATAATTTTTTGATCATGACTTGCATGAACTTTATTCCAATCAAATGAGTAGGTTAAGATTGATTTTTACTTCCAGTTTTATTCAAAATGAATAAATATTTTTTTTGTGAACAAATGTTTCATTTAATTAAATAAATACTTTATGAGGTAGATATGCAATTATTGTTTTGACATAAAAATTTGACAATTGGATCAATTAAATTGCTTATTTAATTATAATAAAGGAGTATTGAAATTCGAATGAACAACGGTGCTGACACTACGCCGCGATGTATATCTTGTATATCAATAAAACCATGTGATTATCATTGAATTTGTAAATCATTTTTTGTGCAATCCTCATGACCCTTATAGGCTTAAAGGAGAAATTATTCATTCGATTTGAAAGAACTTCATTTTAATCAAATGAATGGGTTTATTGAAGCTTAAACTTGGATTTTATTTGCGTTTCCATTGAAATTAATTTTGTTCATGCAAAAAAATGTTTCATTTATTCAACTAAGGACTTTATTAATTAAAATTATTGATTGGGCGGCGAAGAGAAGAAATTTATTAACATAACATTTTTTTTTTATTTATATGAATAAAATCATGTAACGCCAAAGAAATTATTTATTTGAAGGCACTTAATTTCAATCCAATAAATGAGTTTATTGAGGCTTAAAATTTATATTTTAAGATTGATTTTCAATCGATTATATTCTCGTTTTTATTCAAATTGAATAAAGAATTCATTTTTGCAAACAAAATTTTCAATTGGATTAAATAAACTGTTCATTTAATTATAAAACACGATTTATTTGGAATGAATGGATTATTTATTCGACATAGGTAAAACATTTCGTATAAATTCATCAATTTTCAATAAAAAAATGGGGATTGTCAACATTTTGTGTCACAATTACATCTCTGTACGAGTTTAAAAAATGTAAGAATATTGTTCCAATTTCTTTTTTTCTTTCTCCAACTGACTTTCTTATTCACTTTTGGAAAATTAATATACTGAAAATATTTCAAAGAAGTCCCCATCAAATAGACAGCGCATTTTCCTATTTTTCTAATATCGTAATATTGATCCAGTTTATTGAGTTCAACAATATTTAGACCCACATTTCTCCTCAGGTAATACAATTCATTAGCAATATTTTTCCCGTGACAAATGGAAATGTATTAGCAGTGAAAAACCAGAGGGAGAATAAAATAATCCACCGAGTTTGTGCATAGTCGTACGACAGGTGGAAGCTACTTTGAAGAAATGAAGAGGATGGGTATGCTTTTGGTTCGGTGAAAAGTTGAGTGTTCCACCTCTACCCCTTATACATCAAGCTGGCACGACAGTTGCTCCCAGGCAATCTTGCCTAGTAGCCGCTTAAGGAGGTCTGACGGAGAGGGTAATTTTCTCGGAATTCGAGATTAAAATTGCATCTCGAGGGGAAGGGGAAGAAACAATGTGCGGTCAGACGGCTGAAGCGCGCAAGGGGACAATTCAGGTGAAACGGGACTCTCGGAGGAGTGGATTGGAGGGCGGAACGACTTAAAAAAGATGGGGACAGGGTGAATTAGTGTCATTGGAATGAAAGAATAAGTTGGGAGCATAAGCTGAGTAAATTGAGGGGTTATTTTTTCGCTGTTCGAGGACGAGTGGTGAGAGTTGTAAGAGGATTCTAATTTTCTCGGGAGAAACTTTAGCGTGTTTTCTATTTTTGTTGGTGTTCATGATGGAGAGGGGCATTACTGGGAATTCATTTGGTAGCTTCCGGTCTAATGGGCCAATATTAATTATTGAAGATGTGGCGAGATGGGAACTTTGAGAGCTATGTCGACAGGACGATAGTTCCAACTTGGCAATTGAACTCGCAGTGGAGTAAAACGGCCCCTTTTGATTTTTTCAAAAATGTCAACAGCTCATTAAATTTTAAATAAAATGAAATAATTTTTTTTGCATAGAAACTACACTTCTTCCCCTTTAGAATGAGCCTAGACTGATCTCAATTAATGTATTTGTTTTTGAGTCATGAGTATCACAAAAAAGTCAAAAGGAGCCGTTTTACCCCACTCTCCCTTAATTTCAAAATTTTCATAATGACCATCCGTGCAGTTCCACTCAAACTGACAGTGCAATAAACTCCCTTGAAATCCTCTCCCCTGTTCCAGATATTTTGAATAGAATCACGGAGACAGTACAGGTACTGTTAAAACACTGGGAAAAGAGAGGAGAAATGGCTCCTGTGAACCATGAAATTGTCGCACGGGGGTACGGGTACGTCCGATAAAGCTTTAAATACGAATTAGTGGCTCCCGGGGCACGTGGAAATGGGTACCGCCATGTCGCTTCCTCCATCCGTGTATCTACCGCACGTGCACCAGTCCGGCATCATACCGTCCCTCACACTCCGTGAATTTCGTAAACCTAGTAGCCGGATATTTTCATCCCTGCATGGAGGAATCGGGGTGGGGGGCATTGGGGGTGAGGGCAGGAAGTCACGGTTCGCCGATCAAGCGTGACGAGTAAAATACAAAATTCGATTCGAACTCGACGCACGTCCCGGTGTATTTATAATTGCCAGTGAGCTTATTTAGTCCGGGGGTATCTCGGTAATGCCCAGAATGGACATGTGGTTTTACGGTTTACGTTGATACAAATTGGACCCCACTGCGTATTCCAACATATCAGATATTGAAATGGCATGTTTTTTTTTTGTTATTTTTGTTATTCATGGATTTGGAGAATGTTTGGATGGAGGAGGAGACAATTTTTTGTCGGAATTACTGTTAGAAAAAAAATTGAACACCCTGAATAATTCAGTACACGAGGAAATTTCAATGCAATTCAACATTTTTAGGGAGTCAAAATATGGGCATTCCGCAATTTAACTGAGTTTTCAACTAATGGAGAATTAAGAATTTTGGTTTGGAGGCTTTCGCGGCCATTGATATTGTTACATTCAAACACAATATTTACTGATGGTCTCTCATACTAGGCTGATTCAAATAAAATTTCAGAAAAGAAAGTCATTTGCCAATTTATTAATCCAATTCGATTTAAAGAGTCTTTTCAACATTTCATTACATCCACTTTATTAAGAATGTTTAGCCAGTGTTGGTAAATTGTCGGTAAATGTAATTTTTTCGGCTGACGGCAGAACATATGAAACTAATTTCAACTAAAATTTCAAGTAATTTCGTTGCTTGATATAAATTTCCAAGAAATGGATGAGAAATTTGAGCAAAAAATTGAGATTTTTAATTTTTACCATTGAATTTTGTTGCTGGACCATTGAATTTTGTCCTTTATTCAGATCCTTCTGATTCTTACATCCAGAAATCAAGTCAAATAAATGAGCTTATTAAAAAATAGTGCCCTCATTCACATCTAATAAATCGATCGTTTCATTTTAATAAAGGATCAATTTAGAATGAATTAATCATTCATTCATTCATAAACCATCGTCATTCCAATAAATGTATACATTTATTTGATTAGTTAGCTAGTTAGTTAATTAGTTAGTTAGTTAGTTTATTGATTTCAATATTAAGTAAAAAAAAAATCAGCAAATGAACAAATTTTGTTCCAACAAAAATATTGTTGAAATAGAAGAAAAATGGCACATGAAGTTTTATTTCATTCAAATGCACCACTTCTCCGGGTGTTATCAGCATTTCCCATCTGAAATGCATCTCCACTCGATCCAAGAAACTCCGTATGTGGCGCGTGGCAACACATAGGGGCACAGACCAATGTAAATTTCCCATCTGAACTGACGAACCGTAACTCCTCGGCGAGTTTGTGAGTGAGAGACACGTTGACAAGGTTTGCCCGTCTGTGTCATCAAACATTATGCGAATCCACTGTTTACATCTGGATGAAACGTCGTCCAATGGGTCCAGGTAAGTTTAGAATTTAATGCTGCCTTGCATCCACCATCTCTACATCCCCAGTTCGGTGATGCATGAATTCCGAAAGGTGTAGAAATGGATGTTATAACGACATCCTGGGGATTCATCGTTGGATATTTGTATTCATGCTCTGGAGTAGAGGTGGGGCCAGCACTCTGGGTGCATTAAAGAAACAAGCGGTCCGGGATTGTTTACGGAGACGAGAGAATAATAATTTTTCATAACTTTTTTTGAGAAATTTTCCCTGACAAAAATTAATTCTGACATTTCGAGTGAAAAATCTTGGAATTTTTTATTTTTAAATCAGTTAATTGCTGGAATATTCAAGGAAATTGTCATTGTTGGGGCAAATAATTTTTCATGACTTTTTTTTAAGGAAATTTCCCCGATAAAAATTACTGCTGACGTTTCAAGTAAGAAATCTTGAAATTTTTAATTTTTAAATCCGTTAATTCCTGGAAAATCTGTGAGGATCCTCGCACAAACAATTATATATTTTTCTAAATATTTTGTTATTGAGAATTAATTATTATCATAAGGTTAAAGAATTGAAGAAAGAAAAGAATTTGCGTCGGGCGGAGTGAACTCGCGTTTAGCGACAGTAGAAACGGAATAATTGGTCAGACACACCGAGAATCAATAATTTTAAAATTGAAGTTTCTTAAAATGCTGTGATTTTTCTGTTCGACACTCCTGTAGAAATTGAAATATACAAATATCTCGATGGTGATCAATAGCGAGAAATTACAATAAACAATCCGATTTTTTCTAATAAAAAAAATGAAAAAAAAAAAAACGAATCAAAAGTAACTAAAAAAGAAAAATCGCGTGAGCAGATGGAAGACAGGAGTATCAACATATGATAATTTGAGCTATAATCTTTGAATTAATAATAACGCAATAATAATAAAGTAATTGTTCTGATTATCAATAGATAACCCGGCACATAAAATCGTGTGGCTAACGGGGGTAGGGTGTGAGAATAATTTATGAAAGTACACAAAATTTCTCAGGGAACAGGGAGATATAGAGAATCAGTAGATCTCCGTGCTGAT